ATATATATATATATATATATATGCGTGTGTGTATATATATATTAGCAATATATATATATATACACCAAAACCCTAATAAACCCTAAACCTTAGTAAACCCTAAACCCTAGTAAACACCGAACTGTAGTAAACCCTAAACGGTAGAAAACCCTAAACCCTGATTGTGAATTGCTTACTGCTGAGGACAATGTAGGGAGTGGAGGAAGGTAGAAGGAAAGCTAGTTGTCTTTGATTTGCTGATGTTAAGAAGGCCACAGGCTGCTTCATATCTAGGGGGTGAGACCTCAAGTAGACAACAATATCTCTGAAAGTTTTGAGGTTTAATTCTTTTCTCGTAACAAACACTGCACTTGAGCCAACTATAGGACATGTACGGTAGAAATAAGCACCCATTAACCCCTTATCTGCTGCTGCTATTCGTGAATTCATCAAGACAGGAGGGGTAGTCTCTAAGAGGTCTTCTAAAGACGGCTGTCCCTGGGAAGCTCCACCTGCAGCAGCTGCTGCACCATCAGGAGAAGCAGAAGAAGCTGCAGCATTAGCAGCATCTGCTGCAGCGGGTGATGCTACTGCTGCTGTTGCTGTTGCTGCTGTTGCTGCTGCTGCTGTTGTAGCTGTTGGGGTAGGAGCTGTAGGTGGTGGTTTGCTTAAGTTTTTTAAAGAATCATCATCGGCCGTTGACTGCAAGAAATATATATCTGTCATATCTGCCTCCCCATCTAATACTGCATGCAAACAAGCAGATCCCGTTGTATAAAACAGCCACTCTACACGCAGCGGACGCCCATAGTGAACGCCAATAGTCCTCGCCAAATAACGTAAGTAATCCGGAAAATACCCTGCACACAATACACCCCAAACCCTAAACCCTAAACCCTAAACCCTAAACCACAAAAAAAAATCCAAAATCCTAAACCATAAACCCTGAACCATAAACCCTAAACCTTAAACCATAGACCTTAAACCCTAAGCAATAAACCCTAAACCATAAACCCTAAACCCTAAACCCTACACCACGAACCCTAAACCCTCAATAAGCCTAATTATATAACACCCTTAACCCTACATGCTGCACAGACCCGAAATCCTAAACTTTAAACCCTAAACAAACCGTTAGCCATAGATTCTCCACAAATCCCAAACCCTAAACCATAAACCCTAAACCCTAAACCCTAACGGACCAGTTGGCGGGTCTTTGGAGTAATTGCCTTCATCACCCCAGTCGTATCCTTTGAAGGCCCTGAGGGGTCCCTCAGGATGCTGATGAGGAGAAGGAGCTCCGTATGATGCTACTCGAATAGTGTTTCGTTCAAGCACTTTTAAAAGAAGATCAGAGGGGTGAAGAGAAGACAAAGAAGGCCAGAAAGTTGACTCCAAATAAAGAGGCAATGGAGGGCACAGCAATAGAGGCACGTAAGGTAGCTTCTTGTACCGATACATCAACTGACTAGGGACATAATGTTCGCCTAAACGCAACAAACCACAAACCCTAAACCCTAATAGACCCTAAACACTCGGAGTTGGTGCTGCTGTTGCTGCTGCTGCTGCTGCAGGCACTGCTGCTGTAGGTGCATGTGGAAAAAGGCAGAAAATAGCCTCTAAAACAAACCCTTAACCCTTACAGCTACACCCTAAACCCTGCAGACCTTGCATATGAGTTATTGCAGCATTTATTGCATCTCTCAAGCCTGTGGTGCATGGAGGCCCCTCATCTTCCTCCTCCTCCTCTGCTACATCCGGCTCTTTATCAGCAGCAGCTGGGACTCCTGCAGCTGTTGTTCTTGCTCCTGATTCTGCTGCTGCTGCCGCCGTTCCTACTGCTGCTTCAGCAAACAAAACGAAAAACAAGAAAAGAAAAAAGAGAGAGAACGCCGCAGGCGCCCCGCAGCCTCGATGCCCACCGCCTGCGGCTGGCATTCTGCTGCGACTTTTCCAACACCAAACCCTAAACCCTAAACCCTAAACCCTAAACCCTAAGCCCTAATCCTGTAGGAGACGTCTGCCACCCGCCCGCGGAGTAGATGAAAAGGCCTTGGGGCTGAGCTCCCGGGGTTGTGGGTTCGGAGGAGACAAGAAAAACGCGGGAATAAAGGCTCTAAATCCCCTTATTAACCACTTTAAAGTTCTATAACCCTCCGTATCCCCTCCACTAGCAAGTAATAAGGTGTCTGTACAGCGCAATCTGCAAAAAGTAGAATAGTTGGACCCTAGGATCTGTCTTCTTTGGGTTTCGAAGAGCTATGACGCGCCTTCGCCACAGAAATAGTCTCTGAATAGAAGAATAAGCATGCATAGACCCAGCAAAGAACCCTAATACCCCTTTTAAAGGATATATACAACCTATTCAAGACTGCTGCAAACAAACAAGAAGCTGCAAACAGTGTTGGGTTGGGGGCTGCATAGCGCAGCAACGCGTTGTATGAGACGAATCGATTGCGTTGTTTGCAATACTTTATGTTTATTATATTTTCTTTATATTTTATTCACTTTTAAGGCAATTATTAGCTGTAATTTAAGCAAGATCTCAGCGAAAACAACAACTATACCCCAGCCTCTAATAGCGACGTGCTCTATTGTTGTACCCAGTTCGATTTTCATGCTAGGCGTTTTCTCTTGCAGCGCGGGGCATCGGCAAACGAGGATATGTAGGAAACAGTTTATTCAATTACTTAAACAAATAACAAATTCAACAGAAACTTGCAGTACTAAACCATCGCTGCGGTATTTCATGACGGGTTTGAAGAGGCAGCCACAACGCAAGTGGATGCTGTCTTTCTGTGTGGCCTTTTCTTTCCTCTTTTCTCCGCTGCAACATCTTCTCTTTTTTCTGATATTCCCTCTTTCAAGTAGCCTTTCTGCCGTACGATCAGCAACACTAGAAAAGAAGGCGCAATAGACGCACCTTCATACTGGGAAAGAACCCCCAGTTGCCTTGGAGTAGGGAGGCCGTCCATGGCTTCGTACTAAATGCATTTCACATTGAATATAGGCTGTATACTGATGGTACAGAGACTGTTGAGCAATTGCCCACTGCACGAGTTCTTGTAGCAGAAGCTGTCTACGCTATACTTGCGTGTGGGCTTGCCTTCTCGTTGTAGATGCAAGAAGGCGCCGTACAACTCTTCACGTGTTTCTTCTTCTCTTCTCGAGTTTCAAGCCCTGTTGTCACTGTACAAAGGATTTCTGGACAGTAGAAGGGGGCGTTTGCTGCTTTCTAACGAGCACAAATCTGTAGTATATCGACTCTGTCATAACTAATGTTACTTCTCAGCTTAGAACGAGGCCTCTTGTTACAGTTGGTAGCACCACATACTTTATAGCATTCAATAATCTTAAGGTCGCTTTGGCAAGGAGAAAAGCGTGGAGAAACCGTCAGATACTGTTCCCAGCTCTCGCTTACTACTCGCATGAAAGAGTAAATCTGTCGGGGTAAGGAAGACCTCCTGCAGAAAAGCGCAGACACCTCACATTGAGAGAGATACAATAACCGTACCTCATACCGGTATAAGTGTCTCTACACCAGAAAGAATTCATGATGCATGCTGCCGCCCTAGCCCTATTACCCAAAGATAGCAGTAGCAGCGATGCGGGCGCGGGGCAGGGTGCCAGGGGCTTAAATTCTCTGCTTCGTTCGATCCGTACTTTCGTCTTCATAGTCCACCCAACAGCAACTATCAACAGCAACTGTATACTGTTGCTACTGGCATCCTCTTCATCAGGAGCGAAGGCACGACAGTAATGTCTATATATGTATAGTGTATGGGTACGCATAGCATATATGCATGTATACATACATATATATATATATATATATATATATGTATACGATATGTATATATAGCGTATATATACATATACACATTCAAGTAAGGGTACAGCTTTTCTGCGTACGTGTGGACTACTGAGGCTTTCTCCCAGGCTCTGCAATGCCGCCTTATCTACCTCAGTACAATTGTTAAACAAGGGAAGCTGTCAATCCATCGCTACTTTGAGAAGTATCAGTCCTTGCCGAACCCAATGGTGAACTCGGAGCTTATATTTCAGTGGTTTGTAGCAGCGTTTTCCTTTAAAGAGGGGCAGCCCATTACTCACACTATCTGGGAGAGGAGAATAAAAGTTAAAGCGAGGCGCCTGCAACGACGAAGGAGTACAGACCCAACACACGAGAGAAACGAAAAAATATTCCCGCCGTTCGAGCTGAGAAAAAAGCAAATGCCTTGCAAAGTGACCCAGAAATAGCTCCATATATATATATATATATATATATATATAT